CCTTATAGATCCCTTAAAGGGCCCCCTATTTTCGGAAACCTCCCATAGAAACCCTATAGGAGCCCTTATAGATCCTCCCGAAACCCTGAACCCTAAACCCTAAACCCTAAACCCTAAACCCTAAACCCTTAAAGGGCACCCGGACAAGTCCTCCACGCCAGGAGAACGCCACACTGGAAAGTTGGATCCGACTCAGTGAGGTCGAGGCACCTCGGTTGAAGGGTTTAGGGTTTAGGGTTTAAGGGTTTAGGGTTTAAGGGTTTAAGGGTTTAAGGGTTTAGGGTTTAGGGTTTAGGGTTTAGGGTTTAGGGGGGTGGCTGTTTTGAGGTTGTGGTGTTGCGTGTCCATGGGGCTTTATGGGTTTCAACTTATATGGTTTATGTAGTTTAGGGATTTAGGGTTCGTCGGCTAAGGGTTTCAGAGCTTTCGAGTGTTAATGTTCAGAGTCTGAGATGAAAGGTCTGCACCTTTCGGTTGTCGTCGGAATCTTAGTTTTAGGCAGTACAACCTTGATCACAATCCAAAGCCATAAACCAAGAAAGCACAAACGTAAACCAAAGCCTCAAGCCCTGAACCCAAAAAGCTTTCCGATCGCCAACAATCGTCATTGCTTTGATCAAAATGAGAAGCCCTATATACCCCAAAAGGGGGCATGGGGCTGTCTGGGGAGGAGATCACCAACATTGCAGCATCCGTTCCTGCTACAGCCAGCTCAGAGTGGAGCGCCGCTTGACCGAGAAAGAGCTTAGAAGTAATATAGGGGCCCAAATCATTACCAATATTGTATTTTGGGGGTTCCGTATTGTAAATATAGTATAATGGGCCCCCAAACCCTAGTCCAATCATTAAGGCCCCTATATTAAGGCTTTCAGGGGTTCGAGTTGGTACAGTGGGATGTCGAGTTTAACGTTCGGCTGGCAGCGGCACGAGCTCAGGGATCGTTTAGGGCCTCGGAGTTTCGGATTCGGGGTGGAAGGCCCAAGGGTTTCTGTGGAGATGGTGCGTAGTGTTAAAGCGCAACATCAGCACAACTTGGCTTTCAAGTTAATTGTCCTGAACCGGCAGCGAAGGCTATATTTCGGCTTTTTGTTCGTTCGGAGTCCCTACAAACCCTAAACCGTCTAAGCGATAAAGCCTAAACCCTAAGAAACGGTTTGGGGCAGACCAGTTTTCCATGCGCTGAGGAAGACTACTTGCCAAAGTTCGCTTGCGACTCTTCGGCTGCAGTAGCAAGCCCAATGTGGCCCACACATCCTACTTAGAGGTTCATGGGTCTTAGTAAGTACAGTTATAAGTAGCTTAATTGGGGCTATAAGCAATTATCAGTATAGTAACTGTATTTATAACCCTAGTTACTAGGTCCCATGAACCTTTAAGTACCTCTTGCACCCTAAAGTCTCAACCGGCACCCTAAGGCCCTAAGCCCGAAACCCCAACCCCTAACCCTACAGCATCCTACCCACAAGCCCAACACAGTCAGTCATTGAGTCAGGCCTGCTATATGGGTAGTTGTTCAAATTAGGGTCCCTCTTCTAGGTTCCCAGTAGTACCCTTTTGCCCTTTTTCCTTTTTGGGATCCCTGATTAAAACCAAAAAGCAGGCAAAAGGGTACCCTTATTATTAAGGGGCTACTGGGGAACCTAGCCTTTAAGGATCCTTTTTTAGGGACCCGAATTTAGAGAACTGCCC